TGCTGAAACTGTCAAAGCTGACTTTTTGTCTCATAAGATACCTTGTTGTACTCGGCCCCTCCCTCTAGATCACACAGTTCATCTGAGAAGTCAGAGAACAGCAGGCCCTGCTCTCTCACACCACTGAAGAGCTGCAGGGACAAAACCTACATGTCAGGTCAGGCAATGCTACAATGTTTCCTGTTGCATGTTAATGTGCATCAAATTGCAGTCTGGGATGGTAAGGAAAGCTAGACTGATTCTCACATTTTATTGTAGAAAATGAAAATGGTTTTGTAGAAAGTGAAAACAGTCAATTGGCAAAATGCAGTGCCACAATGTTAGTCTGTTGTAGGTGGTTGCTTGCTGTCCCAAGTCAAAAGAGTCCACTTCATATCAAAAGCAAATAGAACCTATTATAAATCAATCAATGGTGTCTACACCATACGAGTAGCTGACAATAAATGGATGCATGTTTGATTTCTGACAAACATTGTTAAAAAGTTTGGCCTCTCTACATTTATTTATTTATTTTAAAGAAATGCACACATTTATTCAGCAAGGACTCATTAAATTGATTAAAAGTGACAGTACAGACATTTATAATATTACAAAATATTTGTATTTCAAATAAATGCTGCTCATTTAAACTTTCTATTCATCAAACAATCTTGAAAAAAACAATGAATCACCATTTCCACAAAAATATTAAGCAGAACAATTGTCATCAACATTGATAATAATAATAAATATTTCTTGAGCAGCAAATCAGCATATTAGAATGAGTTCTGAAGGATCATGACACACTGAAGCCTGGAGTAATGGAGAGCCATTACAGGAAATCATAACATTTTAAAATATATAAAAATTGTAACAGTATTTCACAATATTACTGTTTTTACTGTATTTTCAATCAGATAAATGCAGCATTGGTGAGCATAAGAGACTTCTTCCAAAAAACTAAAAATCTCAACCCCAAACATTTGAAGTAGTGTACATACATTTATGAACATTTGCTTTGACACTTCCAGTGTAGACAGTCTCAAACGGGTGTGCCCCATGTAGACAGTGTGATAAGGATTTGAATGAACCCTTAACCCCAAGTATGAGCAAAAGTGAAAGTGACACTGACTGGCCATTACTAGTTAAGAGGTTTGCCTTATATCATAACAGTTTTGTATACAGATTATAGATCACATAATCCTGTTAAAGGTCTGAAGAGTCACCTTGACTGTGTCGATGAGCCAGATAAGAGCTCCAAGAGCCTGAGGCCACGTGTGAGGAGCACCAATAGAGTACATGGAGCTTTTTGAGAGTGCAAACGGGTATCTGAGAAAAAAACAAAAACAATCATCTCTCAGTGTTAAAGACAGAGTACAGGATGGTTAACACTGACCAATGTGTGTTTGACATCAGACTATATTTTAACTGATTCGTACAGGTGTAGTAATGAGTTTACCCCAGATCCTTGAGCATTCTTGGGATCTCCTCCTCAACCTTGGCAGTGGGCATCTGAAAGGATGGTTCCAGGAAACTGTAGACGAATTCAAATATCTTTAAAAACTCTTTTGTTGATGGAGACTGGAGAGCCTTCACTGTGATGCTGCCAGGAAAGCCTCGCTCGACCAGGAACTAGAAATAATGGGAAAAACATATTCATTGTAACCAGGGTTTTGGCCCAGTTAACTTCTGATTTTCCAACTGCTCATGATTACATAAAGATTTTTTGACTACCTCTTCAAAGAACATTTTCTAACTGATGAAATGTATATATTTAGAGCTGACCATAACTAGAAAAATCTAAGATTACCTTCGAAAATCCACATATGGTGAAAATCCTCAGAAAAACCCATCAACTTTCTATTTATACAAGTTTTTTAATCTTTTATAAAATTTCAAGCTTCACATTTCTTGTTAAATCCTAAATAAATTTGGCCCATTCACATCCAAATATTGCTGTACTGAGCCTGCAATATTCCTTTAATGTACAGACAATATCATACTTCACAAAGCTGCTTGATACACTGTTGCACAAAAGCTTTGTCATGTAGGGGTCTGGGGTCCTTCATCTTCTCTGGGCCCCCGTAAGCCCCAAACATGCTGTTCCTCTGGCCACCTGCCCCGATGCCTCTGCGAAGAGGTAGAGAGATGTGAGGACACTGTTGTAATACAATTAATGTTTAAAGGGGTCATATGATGTTGCTAAAAAGAACATTATTTTGTGTATTTAGTGTAATGAAATGTGTTTATACGGTTTAAGGTTAAAAAAACCCATTATTTTCCACATACTGTACATTATTGTTTCTCCTATATGCCCTGCCTTTCTGAAACACGTCGATTTTTACAAAGCTCATCGGTCTGAAAAGCGAGGTGTGCTGTGATTGGCCAGCTATCCAGTGCATTGTGATTGGCCGAATACCTCAAGCATATGATGGAAATGTTACGCCCCTCACCTTACTGTGATGATGCCCTGTCCGGCCGGAGCGACGAGACAAAAACATTAAAACCCATTATAAACGAG